CCTAATGCAATAATTAGCTCCAGGATGGTAGGGATGGGAGGGAAGCAGGGAAGGGGGCAGGAGGTATCTGAATCCACCTCTCCTTATGCTTTTAGCTTTTCAAATGTGTTGACTTTATTTAAAAATTAATTATATTGGTCCATTCAAGGTACACAATAGAATGGCATTCATCATTGGAAATCTGCACCTTTACATAATCCATCTTGGTTCTTATTTTTCCCCACTCCCCTGCCCTCCCTTCAACCCCTCCACACCTCCCCATCTACAAAGACTTTGTTTCCATTGTTTCTTTTTCTCGTGTCAATTCCATTCCCATCTTTCTTTTCTCCTGCTCCTCCCTCTTCCGCTTTGCCCCTTTTCTTCCTATTTCACATTATCTGTTATGCCTTTTACTTCTTTTTTACACTTTCAGTTTCTCACACCAGAGAAACTATTCGGCATTTACATGCACGAGATCTATTGCGCTAACATTTTACACGCTCAAAAAACAAAGGAAAATCAACACTAAACCGAACATAAACTGTTAAGTTTCAACTTGTCAATTACCTGATTACAACAGAGAGGACAAAAGAAAAAAGAATTAATTCAAGCCACTTCGAGCATAATACTTTGATTATACACCAAGTGGGTTCTATTCTGAGGACAAACAAAAAGAATTCAAACTTTTATTTGTTGTTGCGTTATTTTCACACAAATTCTGATATTATGTTGCATTGTAGGATTTGGCAAGCGAATAAATGCATTGATGCATCTGTAACTCAAATTTGAACTGTGGGGGAGGAAAATACAAATATAAAACGAGAGGAGATAAAAGGCCTAATTCTTACCAAAGTTAAAGATATGTACACAAATGTATGGTTTTTCAAGGAAAACTACGTCTTAGTTCTGTTCTCAAGAAGGCCTAGACATACTAACCCGCCAGCCGAAATAAATATTCCTAGCGCCCAGACCTTGGTTTCTAAATATAGCATCCCTCACCAATCGAAACTTTGAAGACCCAGCTAATTCCAGGAGCGGGAAGGGGGAAATCTGAGGCTGGTCTGAAATACACTGTGCCAGGAAGTTCAAAAGTGCCTGACAACTGAGAGGGACGTAGGGATTACCTGGAAGTACCTCTCGCTGGCCAAATCTCTGAACACTTGGGCGTCAGAGTGAAAAATGACGGGGCTAGAACACCACGTGCTAACTGGTAAGAACTGACGAGTCCGTTTCATATGGGAAAAGTAGTACCTAAGAGGAGAGGGCGAGTTCCACGAAATGCTTCTAAGTCGGGAGTGAGGGGAATCTTGTAAGGAGCAAAGCCAACTAATAACAGAAAGCAGAAGGCATGATAGAAACAGAATCACCACGGTACCAAGCAGGTAAGAATCACCAATAGTTGCTAAAACCATGAGAAACAGGTCAGTCACGGGTCTCGCAATGTCTCTCTAGATAAGCAATTTATGAATCACACAGCAGGGAGGCACCTTTACAAATCCCCATCTTCACCAGATGCCACCTTAACCAAATTCACAGATTTGGCATGGCTGGTGTTTGCTTACACGATGCGTCAGTGTGATCGATGTGGTATTTCTGCGGAGTTTAATCTGATGCCAGCAGTAAAGAAACAATCTGGATGAAACCAAATCGAGGCACACACTACCCCAGCCAAAATTTCTCAGCGACACAAAAGAAAGATGAAAAAGCTAAAGAGCTGTTCTAGATTTAGAGGTTGATAAAACAAGACAAATAAACGAGATGCGCAGTTCTCTTAACAAACCTACACTAGTAAGCAGCGATTGAAAAGTTAATTTAAAAGTCCTTCTTACATTATAATCTATCTTATCAGATTAAACAAGTAAACCACACAGTCATTGCAATAAATGCAGCAAAAGGACTAGATACAATTTAACATCCACTTACAAGTTTTTAAAATGTTCTCCACAAGTAAGGAAAACAAAAGAACTTAGTTTCACAAGGGGTACAGGACGAATATCCCTTAATGGAAATGCCTCTAACCAGAAGGGTTTCAGATTTCATCAAAAAGGTTTTATTTTGAAACATTTCAGACTTTCAATTTTCAGATTAGCGATGCCTAAATTGTGTGTATAAAAAAGAAAAAAATGTGAGATAATGAAAAGATGGAAATAAAGTGTTTGTAGATGGGGAGGGGAGGAGGGGGTGAAGAATGGGAAGGGGAATGGTAAAAAAATAAGAACCAAGTTATGTACAAGTACAGATTCCTCATGAATTGAACTACTGTATCCCTAAAATGTACCAATAAACTCAATTAAAGCTGAAAAAAATTTTAAATTAAAAAAAAAAAAGGCCTGTAACAAATACCATACTCTCTGATGAATAATGACACACTTTTGTTTTGAACTTCAGGATAAGAATGCCTCCAAACATCACTTCCATGAAAAATTGGAGAGCAGGCATCAGTCATTACAGTAAAAGTACAAAAACAGGGCTGGGGATGTAGCCCAGTGGCACCGTGCCTGCCTTGCAAGCGCAAGGTCCTGAGTTCAATCCCTGGTTTAAAAAAGAAAAAAAGTGCAAAAATAATTGAGATAAAACTGGTTCAAAAGGAAGCGATGACTCTGTCACTATCAACAGGATTGTGTGGGCAGAAAATCCCAAAGAATATACATACAAATTACAATTTATAAGAAAAAAACCAACATGTAAAAAACAGTTTTTTAATGTTTAAATACCTATAACAAACATTTTCAAGTTAAACTTTTAAAAATTTATATTCCACACAAGAAAATATATACCTAGCTGGGTGTGGTGGCGCATGCCTATAATCCCAGCACTCGGGAGGTTGAGGCAGGAGGATTGCTGTGAGTTCGAGACCAGCCTGGGCTACATAGTGAGTTTCAGATCAGTCTCAACTACATAGTGAGACCCTGTCTCAAAAAACAAATACAGAAAATATATGTATATACCTAGGTAACAAAATACAGGCAGGACTTCAACTAACAAGGTCTGTTTTCCCCAACGTACTTCATAGAATGCAAAGCCATCCCTATCAAGACCCCAACAGGTTTTCTCTGTTAGGAATCGACAAGTGGATACATAGGGAGCCTTGTTTCTTCAGATAATAGGGCTTATTGTGAAGCCACAGAATGAAGAATTTGTTATTGGCACAGGCAAGTCCAAATGGTCTCTGAAGGACATGAAGACTCGAACATAGGAGGCTCTTGGAGCAGTGGGAAACAACTGACTTGCTCATAAACTCAACTGAGTATCTGCATTAAAAAATACAGACCTGGGGTCCTCTTTTATACTGTTCACAAATCCAATGCCATGTGGATTGGGATCGACATAAATAAGAACAGCAAATGTGCAAAGCTCTTAGAAGGAAACAGGGTATCTTCATGACCTCAAGGTAGGAGAGCACAAGGAGCACAGTCCGTAAAGAAAAGGGTTAAAAGGCTCGTACTTAGGAATGGAGACAGAACATACATGTGGACAACGGCCAACCATAGGTGGCATTAGAACTCTGCCCAGCAGTCTGCAGCAACAGCCCAGGGAGCCAAACCACAGCCCTGCGGCCATCAGCCCAGAGGATCAGGACCTGGTTAGTGTTTGTTATGTTCTGAGTTTTGCCCCCGCTTCTAACTCAGGACTAAGAAGAGAAACAGAAAATGCTCATCAAGCAAATCACGTAAGATGCCCTGCTTCTGGTTAGCTGGTCTCCAGCTTGCCCGTGCCAACCGGCTCCAGGCAGAGCAGACCCAGAACCTCCCCCTTCTCCACTATACTCATAAATCTTTCCCTTTCCCTGTCTGCCTTTGAGTCTCTCCCAAAGGCAAAATTATAGCTTGCTTAAGCAGATTCTGAACAAACAGCCCCTGTGTGTCCTCAGTTGGGTGGTCTTTACTTGTTTCCACAGAATTAGGAATTTTGTTTACCACAGGTCTCCATCAACAGAGTAAAGATGAGCTGTAGAGTAGGAGAAGGCAGGCTTTTGCCACACATGCGACCACCAAGGACTCTGGGCACAGCACACGTGAAAACTCCTAAACTCAATAGGGCAAAACTCACCTGTAGAAATATTAGCACTATGCTTGAGTGGGCAACTTCATAAACAGGAATTCAAATGATCAGCTTGAAAAATACCTCAGCCTCATTAGCAATCAGGAAGACGCAATTACCCTGTGCTGTAGGCACAGCTGGCGTGATCGGCTGGAGGTTCACTAAGGTCACTGCCTTAATCCAGTGAGCAGCAGGGCTCAGGGCCCGGGGCTGCCTCCCCAGGCAGGCCAGGCCTCTGCCCATATTTCCTCCTTTGCCTCTGCTCACTGGAGTGGGTGAAAGGTCACACCTAAGGCCTTTTCAGTTTAAAAGATTCCGCCTGCCCAAAGCCAGAGAGACCCAGGGACAGTGGAGAGGGTCAGAGGGAGTATGGCGGAGGAACACCTGCTTCCACTCATTACTGTGGGGACAGTAATGCAAATCCACGTGCCGCAGGCTGTTTCGCAAAACCGAGGAGTGTGGGCAATCTTTTAGAATGCGTCGTCCTGAAAACTGCTTTTTCTTTTCTTTCCGCAAACAGCAAAGCCCATAAATATTAATAGTCATTTCTCTTTTAAAGATGATAAAAATCAAGGTTCAGGGAGGTAGACTTTTCCCAAAGCCATATGGTACAAAGAACTACAGGACAGATCTTTTAAATTAAGGTCGAGATTATTGACTTTTTTTTTTTTTTTTTTTTTTGGTAGTACCAGGGCTCAAACTTGGAACCTTGCACTTGTGAAGCAGGCAGCAGAACCACTGAGCTGAATCCCAGCCCAGGACAGGTCTTCTGACTCTGCGTGCTGCATCCCATGCAGACTCCTCACTCCCCCAAACACACCCTCACCCAGCCTCTCTGCAGGCCATCTCTGGCTCCCACCCTGTTAGAACCATACATTTGTGCTCTGTCTTAATCAGGGGGGGCATTCCTTTCCCAAATGCCTTTCCTAAGCACTGAACAGAGCTGGACATCACTTGTCTCTGAGCCAAAGCTCACTTACCTGGTCCCAGCAGCAGCAGAAGCCCCACAAGGAAAACACCCGGCCGCAGCCCCAACTCCATGTCAGATGCTTGGTGTCCGTGGCCTCCAGACGAATGGCTCAGTGCTCCTCCTCCCGCTTTTATCTCCTCTGGGACTGATAGCACACCTGTCATAAAGTTTACTGTTCTTACCTTTGGAAGGGGGCAGTGGCTGGCTGTAAATGATAAATATTAACATTTAGGCAAAAGAGTCAGAATGGGTAGCATGTTCGAGGCATAGGTACTAGGAGACCAGGTCCACACGGCGGGGGCATGGGAATTGCTAGGGCACAGAGGCTGGTCTTCCAGGAAGCGTGCTGGGCCAGGAATCCCAGCTCTGGGCTGGAATTGCAAACCCACCGCAGCTGTGGGCACTGGGCAGGCTCTTAACTTGGCCTCAGCTGTAAGCTGGGAGATGCAAGCCACTGGGAGGAAAAGCACTTTGGCACACCTGTAAACTATAAAAGCCCCTCCGAATGGGAGTTTTCAGCCTGAAACGTGTTCCCACCATGTCTCGGGATGTAGTCTCCCTTCCTCAACTGCTGAGAAAAATGTGACATGGATGACAGCCGTTACATGTGTTACCGTGATTGGCACCTGCTGCCCATGTGATCTGGGAGCAGCTGGGAAAACAGTGAGACGCAGTTAGCTGAGTCACAGACAGACGTGGTCTGTCACTTGTCCAGGAGCTTTCGTCCTCTGAGTTTTGCTATACAATGTGCTAAAGGTGTAGGTCCTAGGGAGAGGAGGTGCTCCGTTCCCCATTGTGGCAACAGGCATCTGGCGTGCCTTTTGGAAAAGATGCGGGGCCGTAGAATTTGTGCCTTTAAGGGGCAGTGAATGCTGTGCTCCAAAGGCATCTCCATGGTTGAAAAAGCTGCTTTCCAAGAATCCACAGGGAGGTGCCAGACCAAGCCTCGGGCTCAGGGCCCACATGGATTAAACTACCCGCCTCAGAAGGGTATTTTTTAAACTGTGGGTCACAACTATGATCCCATAATTGGGATATCACAATTACTATTCATGAATCTAATTTGGCAAATTAAAGAAATGAAATAAACATTCAAATATCTTAGGGCATTGAACATAATAAGGGTAAGTGATGTATTAGGGACATTTTTCAGCTATATATAGTAATGCAATTTATTTCTTAACGTGGGTCACAGGAGAAAAGAAGTTGAAAACCACTCTCTAGGCAGTAGATGGACAAAACAATACCTAGGCTTTGAGAATAATAATAATAAAAAAATAGGTTTGTTTCTCTCCTGGTTAAAGACGCAGCCAACCCTGATTCCTTGTGCTAGTGAATGGCTAGAAACAATGTCTGTAAATGGCTCTAAGTTGTGGTAAGAGAGATGAGTTTTTAAAGATTGTGACAGAGCGTAAATCAAATCTCCTCTTCCCTGGTGCCTGAACAACATGATGGGAAGCAAGCGTCAGCGGTCTATCACCTTGGACAGTGCCATGGCCCTGTCTTCAGGAACAAGGCCTAGGAAAACACAGGAGCGAAACAGCATCCAATACTTGTAACTGGCCTGACTCAGCTGCCTATGGCAGAAACCTTGCTTAGAGTTGTTTTTATAAAAACATTAAAACATAATTTATTATAAATAATGTTTTTAATTTCTTAGGCTATTATATGTCCTTTTGTAAAGTAACACCTGTCCCAAAGAGTTAAAGGGTAGGTAATTTGGCATTTCCGAACCATAAAGGAAGTTTTATAAGTGTATCCAAGAATACACTAGAGTCAGACTTGACAGTCTCTCTCTAGATTAGCTGGTTTCTTTACTGGACATTGTACATCACGACAGACAACTAGAGCATCAGACCTGCGGCTGTACCCACAGGCTTGCTTTTCCATTCTGCATTTCCACCCTTCCAGGAAGTTTGCTCCTAGACCTGGTGGCATGAGCACTTAGAGGGCTGAGCCTTGGAAGGCAGCAGTGTGATCCTACCATTCTAAGAGAAAAAAGTGTATTGGCATCATTTGACCTGCCACGGAAATGACTCTAAAGTGCCTTCCTGGTCTTTCTTCTAGATTGACTTCCTCCCTCAAACATGGAGATTCCACTTATCTTAACCTGATGTAAACTACCATGTGCTGTGCCAACAGTGCTCTGTGATTTTATTTTTTTATTTATTTATTTATTTTTTTTTTTTTGAGACAGGGTCTCACTATGTAGTGGAGACTGACCTGGAACTCACTATGTAGCCCAGACTGGTCTCAAACTCACAGTGATCCTCCTGCCTCAGCCTCCTGAGTGCTGGGATTACAGGTGTGCGCCACCACACCCGGCTGCCCTGTAATATTCTTAATATTCATTCTGTCTTTTTTTTTTTTTGGCGGGGGAGACCAGGAATCAAACTCGGGTCCTTGCACTTGCAAGGCAGGTGACAGAACCACTAAGCTAAATCCCTGGCAATATTCATTCTGTTTCTGAAAGATGGAGTCTTACAGATTCCCCAAGAAGGCTTCACACACCTCAGAAAGTACCCTGAAATTTGTCTTTTTAAAAATTCTCTGCCCTTTTTGGGAGGAGAGGGGGCTAGCATATTTTTAAATGTACTATTCTGTGATTAAATGTCCAGCTTACTATAAACGACACCTAAATTCTAAGGAGCCAGTAGTTTTTGTTCCAGTATGACCTTAATGAAAAGTAAGGGGATAAAACCTTTTGTCTATTTTTGTTGGAGTGAGTTTTTTAAGAGTAAAGTAGAAAGCAGAGACCTTTCAAATGGAAGATTAATTTTAAATTTAAAATAACTTTCTGTTATTGCTAACACCGTCTTTGCATAAATGAATAAACAAACTTTAAAAAAAAAAAGATACTGAAGACAGGAAGAGCTTCATTAAGGAATGAAGAAATAAAATGAAATGAAGATGGGCCTGACAATGTAGTTTGGCGAGGGGGGAGACTCTACCTTTTTTCGATATCACATCCTTCATTAACAACAAGAGAAAGACCTAGAAGGTAATCCCAGTAGAAGGGATGGACATTCCCTGGAGAGGGGACCTGGCCTGCCTTGACCTTGGTTGTATCCCCAGCAGCTAGCCAGTGCCTGGCTGCACAGTGTCCATTAACACTGGAGGAATAAATTCATGAAATAAAGCCAGAATTTTAAAAAAGAGACCAAGATTACTATAGAAAATATCAGCTCACAGAAGACCAGAAAAGGCGAAAAGAGTATAAATCCTGTCTTAGGACAGAGACCTGCGGGAAAAGAGAAGCACTTTGCCCCAGCAGCGTGAAGCATGATGGGAACAACGGAATGCACGGAGGATCATAGTTTGCAGCGCTTCCCTGAGTCACCCCATTAGTATTCCCCACAGCAGCTTCAACCCTGGCTGAAAGTTGGAGCCCTCTGTGGAGTGTTTTACAAAGTACCTGTCCCAGGCTTCACCCTCACGTTCTGATTTGGTTAGTCTAGGATGGGACTTGGGCATCCACCATTATTTTTGTTTTGTTTTCTTTTTCCAGTACCAGGAACCGTACTCAGGATGTTGCACTTGCCAGGCCGGCATGGCACCACTGAGCTAAATCCCTGGCCCTGTTTTGTTTTGTGTGTGGTGCTGAGGAGTGAACCCAGGCCCTCACTACTGAGCTACACCTCCAGCCCCACTGGTTGGTTCTAAAGATTCAGAAACAGCCAAGGCTGAGAGTCATAGCTCCCAGGAGCCAGAGGTCTCAGGGAACCACTGGGCATCTGGCACAGGGGAACAAAGAGGGCGCCATCTCTGCTGTCTCTGACAACCAAAACTCCACCCAACCCCGAGAGCCTATTGACAGCTGCCCGCCAGGCTGATGCCTGAAGAGGCCCAGTCATGTGACACCCTGATGTGTGGGCTAAAGTTTTAGATCAGCCACGGTGCCTGGTATCGCCCACAGTCCCTCCCTCCTCCTGTGCCCCAATTTCGTCCTCTGTGAGACTGCCAGCAGGAATGCCAAGCTCTCACGTGCAGTGCGCAGAGTGGGCTTGTGGCCGCCGAGGGAGGAGTGAGCTGAGCTGCCCACTTCCTGCCTACAGGGTGCCCCTTCCTACACCAGTGCACTAGTGCTAGATGGCTGCCATCTCCACACTCCCAGAGCTCCCCGGCCCCGGTGCCCTGCAGTCACTGACTAGAGAATTTATCTGAGCCATGCTCCTCAAGCTGCATTCCTCCCCACACAGAAAGACAGGGCATTCGTACAGCACAGGGGACAAGCAGAAAGGACTGCCTTTGGTCTGAGATGACCAGCGGGGTGTCTCGAACCCTCCTAGTGGTCCCAGAGGGCTACAGGGTTCAGTGGATTTGCCTGTCTGTTAAAGATGCCTGTTAGTACACCGCATCTAGGTCTGGGTTTCAATAGCATGTTCTGAGCATGTACCAGGTGCCTGGCATCTTGCTGTTCGAGTTCATAAATGTTGCTCTTTTAATACCATCAGTTTTATATCCACAACCACCTGCATGCTTCAAGGGGTTAAAAGTTCTGACTAATGTCTCCCAACTAGTAAGTTCAAAAGAGGCTCCAATCCAAGCCTCTTCCTCCGTGTCTTCATTTGACAGGCACCTGGAGAAATGGCTCTGGTCACCCCCTTACCCCCTAGAGAGAAGCCGGGGGGGGGGCTCTGGATCTCCAGTTGGAGGAGGGTGGCCTCCAGCAGAGTCTGATAGTCTGACTCCCCCTCCCAGAGGCCCTGAGTCTGAAGGTCCTTCCCGCTGACCCATACACAATGTGGGCATGGGGCCCTGGTGGGCCAGGGAAGAAGTGCCACCTCCGTGGAAGCCTAGGGGACTGGCATTGTTGGTATCAACCCAGAAGGACCAGAGAATGAAACAAGATTCTCAGACCCACCCGGCCAAGCTGTGATCCCCCTTTTCCTCTTCTTGGGGACAATCCCATCCAGTGGCAGAAAACCAAAAGGTACCAGGTCAGAAGTGGCCAGAGGGCGCCCAGCTGTACCATAGCAGTCCCCTAGTTCCGTCCTCCTCTGCCCTCCAGTGTACAGAGGAGGAAACTGAGGCAAAGAAAGAGCCTGAGCCTGAACGGGATGTCCTGATCTGAGTCCAGTGCTCTTCCCCACTCAGTATGCGGGCCTGGATCACCATGACCATTGCAGCAAAGGTGATTTTAATCCAATTTTTGGACAGGAAACTTAAAACCCAGGAAGGATTAATTGGCCCGCAGTTGCTCAGCTACTAAAGGTAGAGCCCAGAGCCCCTTTCTCTCCACCATGCCCAGGAGTGGCCATGCAGACACAGGAAACACCAACATGA